TTATTTGCAAGTGTTGACGAATCATTGCTATAATATTGAAGTTTACACCAACCACATCGTCATCTACCTCTTCACGGTCCAAATATGATAAATCTATAATTTCTTCCATCTAAATTTACTTAAACAATTAAACATACTACAATAAAAGTTTAAAATTCATATATTAATTAAATAAAATACAAATATACATTAATACATTAAACAAATGATTATAAAAAAAAAATTAAATAACATAATACCACAAAAACATTTTATATCTTTCTTATTAACTAGGTACGTATACGTATAACAAATTAAATTATTATTTGAAATATTAATACGTTAATATATTTAATAAAATACAAATATAAACGAACATAAAATATATCAAATAAATAATCTTATACTCCTAAGGTACACATGTCCATAACTCAATGAATCATTCAAATAATTATATTATAACCAAATGTAAAATACTTATAACCTCTTCAACACGTTCAACACCTATATCAGCACACTTGAAGATGCTTTCAGCAACAACTAAGCAACCACAGAGACACCTCTTTCCAATGAAAGCAAGTAAAAGAAAATTGGGTCAATAAATCATACTTCTCCTATCCAACTCATGACACTTTGCTTTCATTTTTAACAAAGAAAACCAAACCAGCAATTCATTTAATTTATTTCATGCAATAAATTTGAAAACGTGAAATCAACATTGTCAAAGATTCACGTAGCATACTCTTTTAATATTTGTTTAAGAAAACATGCTCGGGAGTTCTAGCCTTTTGGTGTCAGTTTTTTGTTAGATCCTTACAAACAATATGCTTTTTTGGGAATGATTTTGATAAGTGGTAAACAGTAGTACATGGCAAGGAACATACTCACATACAACTTCTTTTTTTCTTTCACACAAACTCAGAACACCCTGCTGAAGGTATGCTGCAAAATTTACACATCACAGATCCTTCAACAACATCATAAAATATAGGTACTCACTCCCACAGTCAAATCTTTGGAGGTTTTGTAAGTTTTAACATAACAATCTTAAAAAAAGTTTGTTAAGCATAACATAAAGCATACATGATAAGCAATACAAGGATTGATGCAGCTTGGTATGAGATTGTATCCACTAAAAAACGCCTTCAGTTCTCGCTTCCAAGACACCAGGCCCTCGATTTGTTCGCCCCCAATACCCCAGAGGCTTTTAATACCACATACAGTTTGATCGATACAGAGGAACACTGGCACTTCCTAGGTCCTGCTTTTGCTTTTTTCAACAGCCCTGGGAGCTGCAAGTTGGCACAAAAAAATGTAAATTCAAACAAGATATGAATAGACTAAATTTTCTAGTACGTGTAACTCAGGGACATTAACAGAAGTTGAAATCAGATTTCAAACAATTGTGACAGTAAAATGAATTCAACTTGTGTTTCTATGATTATCTACTGATTCACAACTTTTATAGTTCACATTCATTATTTTTTATAATCATTTTCGTAAAATTTGAAAAAATTGCTCACTTCTAACCATATCTGGATTCTGAACATGTTCAAGCATTTTTGACATCAATGCAAAATAAACACATTGGGTAGAAGCTATTTGTTTTCAAACTTTATTTGAACTAGAAGTCTTAGGACTGTAGGTGTAGCCATAAGACTACTTTATTACTAACATTATAGATATAACTTCTTGTATTCTTGCTACCACCACTGCACAATTAATTTCATTATTTCATGCAATACAAAAAGATGTTGTGCCTTCACCTCCACCACATTTCGTACCTTTGACTTCCAAATCTCCACCACCTTCACGCTTCTTGCTCCACCACGATAAACACCTCAATTCCCAGAGAACACCTGCATCAGAAACCCACTGTCAGACCAAGATAGATCACCCAGTACCATCCAATCCTCATATAATCAGTGCATATGGTTGCTTCTCCACCATTGTTTCAACACAACTCTATCTTCCCTCTCCACCTTCTTATCTCTCACATGGCCTCCGCCACCCTCACCTCCTCCATAACTCCCTGCAATGCCAATCAATAACAACCATTACAACATAACTCTTGTTAACCACTCAAAACCACTCACCACTACCATACATGTCCACTCCGGTTAATCATCTCCTCCTCAGTGGCGTCGAACAACAACCGTCGTGCACCCCATAACCTGCTCCAGACACCGGCCAAGCACCCAACACAATATCACTCATTTTTCAGTCAACAGTGTAACCGGTTAACTGTGCCTGTAACCGATTACATGACGCAGTGTAATTTTCTCATACAGACGTAACCGATTACGTCTAGCGTGTAACCGGTTACGAAGCCTCCACGTCCACTGTTCATCATCTTCTCCGCCTCTCACGCACGACTTTCGTCTTCTTCTTCAACCCTTTGCTTCTTCTTCACATCACCACACACTTTCTGATTCTTCGTCCCATTCTACACACCTACTAATGCAAACGAACACATACATGATAATGGCTTGAACTTACCTCACCACCCTCTTCCTCGTCTCAGCAAATCGCAAGATACTTTGAACACCAGCAACCACTCTCCACACATTCGCAGATACCTCTCAAACTTGCAACCAATTTATTATGCTTCTCCTCCCTCAATAAATACAACCACACCTACCCACTACCATGCGCGTAAAAGGTCCTATGGTCAATGTAGCTTTCATATTCAACACTGCACTTTGACTCTGATGCAGTGCAGGAATCTTTGATGTTCATTGCTTTTAGAACGCAAGGTAACATCACTGAGCCTGTGTAAAGCACACGAATATTTCTAAAACCACGCCAAGCCATGCACTCTCGTGGTTCAACAGTGTTTGATCTGCAGTTTCTGAGCAACGTACACGCTTGGAATTTAATTGATGTCTGAAGGGCACACTGGACTTTTTACATTCAATCCACGCAAATCTCTCCAATTTTACGAGTGATGAAAACGGGGTGTATCCCGCAAATCCGTCCGTGAACATCCTTCCATTTCAGCTCAAAGGAACAACACATCAGCCGCAAATCGTCGCTCTCAAATTCGCATGAACAGTAATTTCTCTTCATGCGAACACAGGCCTAGTGACACACGAAGCCCAAAGTGTTGGACAAAAGAGACAAAACAAGGTTTAAGAAATATGTGATGAAAAGACTAATTATTAATATATATTAATCTCTTCCTTCAGCAACAAAATGATCATCATGACCGACCCAAATCATGATGGTTCATGATATTGAAACACTCTTCAATTACCTGATTAAGCATCCACTTGAAGCCCATAACTCTTCAACAAGGTCTCAAACCATCCACTAACATTGATATTTGCATTGTCAGTATGCAAAAAAATCCGATAGGTTGTGAGTAGTGCAAGTAGGGTGCTTTCCATTCTTCTACACTAGAAATATGACATGAGTGTTGATGACTCTCTTTTCCAATAACTTGGTATTTACACAAACTCTTATTGGTTTCTCTAAATTAACTAAACAAATGTATAGTCCACATGTTGCAGCCATGACTAAAAGTACCAACCTCAATGTTGATGGAAAATTCTTAGTATGTCCATGGAATCCTCAAAAATGAAGTAGTCACCACATGTCACAATGAAATTGTAAGCTAATGTGATTAAGATTCAAGACAGAGAAAAAAAAATGATGATAGCAATGATTGATACTGCCTAGTTTTCTCACCTTCTCCAGGACAAATAATTGTTGAATCATGTTTGGAATGAAGACAACAACAAATATCCCTCTTCTTGAGCTGACAAAAGTTAATTCGAGAGCTGAGCAGTGGCGAAGAGCGAAATCTAGAGCGGAGAAGAACGGAACTGAATCCGGGCGGAGCAAACACGCTGTATTTCGAACCCTAGCTGAGGCGCCACAAGGAGGTGCTCGCGGCGGCTACTACGGAGAAGGAATGGCCAGCGACTGTCGCGCGGCGGTTTTGTCGACGCTGATGGTGGACGAGGCGTGGCATCTCTCGACGCTGAAGGCCTGGTTCACGAGGGTTTGGAAGTGGTGGAGCACGCAGTAGTGGCCCGTCGATGCAGGCAGCGGTGGGATCTCCGGAAATGACATCTTAGAGTTTAAGTGTTGCGTTGAGCGCGAGAGAGAAAGGGATGGAGGAGCAAGCTATTCTGAGCAGGCGCACAGTGGCCGTGACGAGGCTCGCCGGAATCTTCGCCAGCGTTTGAGCGCAGTGAGGGGTAAAGGAGGAAGCCTGATGCGTTTGTTGTATGGAGTAGAAGAGACCGAGTGTTCTGTTCTGTGTTGGCTTTTGTGTGTAATGATTGCGGAGAAGAAGAATAACCTGAAATTGGGAGAGAAGAGACAATCAAATTTTTGGAGGAACGGTTGAAAAAAATGAAAATTAGCTTTTAGATAATTCACCAGGTTCATCTAAATCATGTTAAGTTGTACCAGGTTTTTATAATTTCTGCAAAATAACTCTTATTAAATATTTTTTTTATCGAAATATCATTCTCCGGAATATGATATGATATGCACTTGTCTGGGGAAAGATTTAGAATATTATCACCTTAAAAATATAAATTTTGTGATCAGCAATTTTAAGTGTGTAATTGGTGAGATTGTTGCAGTTGATTTTCTGACAGATAATTATATATACATGTGCATCTTCACTTATGCTGTAACTACGTTTTTAGCATGAGTATTCCTATGTAATCTTGAATACACCTGTCGCTATCATTATATATCTTTATTTTCGTGAGAAAAAAAATTGTTTTTCTGGTGTAACATAACATGTGTTCATTGATATCTCATCATTCATATATATGTGTTTGTGTATGCATTTGAATGAAGATTTTTAACGTGAAAAGACTTGTTTATTTTACTGACAGGACGTGTTGAGGCTCAATGAACCACACAAGAACATCATCGTCTATTCTTCTGTCACAACTGTCACGATCCCGCCACTTTACCACAATTCTCACACTCCATCTCCTTCATTCAATGATTCCACTTGGTTTCAAAGTGAACATAGAAAAAAAAAAGATTCATTTGGTTTGAGTCTCTTTCACTTTTACACCCCTCACCGTCTTCTAGTTCCATGTAACACCACGTCGCAAGAAAACAAAACCAATAAGGGAGGTGGTGAGGAAAATATGGAGCACTTTGTTGTGGTGGTCCTCAGTTCTCTCTCTCTAACACTTTCCTCCTTTATATAATTCCTTTGCCATCACCCTATTGCAGCCATTCTTCCATATGGAGGGGTTGGAGCCAAAGGTGGTGATGAGGGGTGAGAGGTTGAAGAGGGATATGGTAGATTGTGGTGATAACCAAAAAGGGTACGTGGAGCTTCGGCAGGAGAAGAAGAAGAAGAAGAAAGGCGAGGAAGGGAAGAAAGGGTGTGTTAATGGTGGCATGCTGTGTTGTCAAGCGGAGAAGTGCAACGCAGATCTGCATGAGGCCAAGCAATACCACCGGAGGCACAAGGTGTGTGAGTGTCATGCCAAGGCTCAGGTTGTGCTTGTTCATGGCACCAAACAACGGTTCTGTCAGCAATGTAGCAGGTTTGGGAGGTTCGACTTTTGTGTTTTTAACCTTTTCTCTCTTTGTAAAAAGTCTAATCACGTCAATCAGAAGCTAAGTATTTCTGCTTCTGTGTATTCATGCATCAAACGTTGAGAGAACGTCGGATCCACGTTTTTCTAACCTGTTACAAACACCTATTAGGTTTGCTTTTCCTGTTTCATGGAGGTGTTTTGTTCTTGCTAAGTTCTTTTGATGAAAAGAAAAGACAAAACTTACTGCTTATATGAGTTTACATCAAATACTTTAATTAGTATTAAGATGGAATTCTATATCTCTGGTAAGAGAATACCAAAATAACCAGAAAACTGGATCTGAATTTTGTTTTAGAGGGAGTCGTCTTGAAATTCAAGGTGCATGAACTGTTTCCATCTTTTAAGTTGGATAGTTTGGAGATATTGGAAGCAAATCGAGTTTGAGTAGAATTTGTCGTTTTAATGATTTTTGAAGTTGTATGTGTTGAACTCAAATGATGATCTAAAAATTATTTAGTCACACTGGAATCAAAGACTTGAGTGTGTGGTGTTAGAGGACTGTTCCCTTTCTATTATGTTGAATTTAATGTAACTTCAGTTATCAAGATATAGACTGATTCTGTCATGTTGAAATTGTAATCAAACTCATCTTACTCTGTGAAGTGATTGTTTGATGTCTTCTGAAAGACAAGCTTTTGCATGAGCCTACTGAGATGTTTTACTTTATGGAATCATGAAGTTCAGAAAAGGATAATAATTTGGATATGTTAATATGCAAAGTCAAGGATACTGAAGTTTATATTTGGCATATGTGAATCTGTACGGTGTGTTTGGAGCAATAACAGTCTTCTTTTTCCTCTTCTGAGGTAAAAGAAGAAGACAATTCTGCTACCAGAATTTCGCTATAATCTTATTTGTTCTTTCTCCCTATTTGGCATGTCAAAATTGGCTAGCAAGATCATGTTGATGTTGTGTTTATGTATCTGATCTGAAATAAGAAATTGTTATGCAGATTCCACGAGTTGTCAGAATTTGATGATGCAAAAAGAAGTTGCCGCAGGCGTTTGGCTGTACACAATGAACGGAGGAGAAAGAACTCTTCTGATCAATCTCAAGCAGAAGGGTCAAGCCACCACAAAGGGTCAGAGGTCCCTCAAATGAAGGACATTGCTTGTGGTCAGGCTAATGATAGGGGAAGAACTCATATAACGATACAAGAAAATTCTGCTTACAAAAAGTTTCAAATTAGATAAGATCTGCTTTTGTCCTTAAGTTGCTCTCTCTCTTCTGTCATCTTGGTGATGGATTGGTGAAACAGTTTCTGTGTCACATTCACGCTGAAGATTGCATTTAGATAAATAACTTCAAAAATAAAACTAACATAATGGTGTTGCAGTAAATTATGCACTTCTTCCCATTATGTTCAACCATTATGCTTGACATATCTTAACATAATACTCTATGATTTGTGCTACATGCCTTGCATTATGTGCTAAGCAGCGAAATTTTTTATTTGGTTATATTACAAATTACAATAACTGATACTACTAACATTGGTTCTTTTGGTTAGAGAAAATAAAGGTACATAACATGTTTTGTCACCTAAATATAGCTTTGGCCTACACTAGGTCAAGTTGGCTATGAGAATCCCTTTTGTCAATTTGCTATGGGATAAGATATGTGCCGAACGCACAATGAGATCAATTGCTTTTGCATGCTGAAAGAACAAAGGAAAAAGATGGCCATACTATAGAATAATGCCCTTTTTATTTCCCCCTATTGATTGATTCCTTTTATCCCAAAACTGTTGATACAAGCAAAAATAGAACTGTACAATCATTTTTGTTGTTGATTAAAATCAAACTATTTTTTATTCTAGGAGAGAGAGTTTCATATAAAGTTAAAGCATTTTCTTTTCCTTAACAGAATGAGCTTAGTGAAGGAGAATTCCATGTGCAGTCTCCAACTTTGAGAATCCAATCCAGGGAAATAACCTAAGTGCAGATAACATATTCCATTTATTGTGGGTGAAAAAGTGACTTCAATCAAAAGATAATTGGTACATAAATAGTATCACTATTATGAAAATGATGTTTCAAAATTGACGTAACCCAAATGGCTGAAACTTGTAGCAACTGAATTTCTCCTATCTCATTGTATTGATTACTTTTTCAAATTAGGGAAGAAATTCACATGGTGTTGGTCGTGAAAATTTGAACCCCAAAACTTCCATTCCAACACCACCACCAGAGTCCCCATTGTTATGTTGAATTATATTATATATATAAGAATATTTATACTATATATACTATTTATAACTTAAAATTTTGTTCTAAATATAAACCCAAAATATTAATATATAATCATTTCATTTATTAATATTAATTTTAGCAATATCAGTATTACGTACACTGATTTTTGTAAATAATACCGTGTAATGGATGTTAAGGTAGAAACAATTAATATAATATAATAAATACTTTTTATAGTAATATATTAATTATAATAACAATCTATGGTAATATAATATTATATTATTACTGCTATTATTGTTATTAAAATAAATATTATTACTAATAATAATTGTATTGTTATAAGAATAATAATATTGTTTATATTAATTTTATTATTATAATTATTATAGCTAACATATAATTAGTTTTTTAATTTAATTACTAAGATGAGGCTTTCCTACCAAGACTAGAGAAGCCGACCACTAGACCCTAACCAACTTTTGCCACACCATCTGCACTGTTTACCAGTTAAAAAAGCATTATAATTATATAAAACAAGGTGCTGGCATGTGTAATCCTCCATCAACATGGCATGGTGTAATCTCCACCGATAGTAAAACTGAATTTCATTCAATGAAAATCAGTTATATACTATGTCGTTTACTTGACATGGATATAAAAAGTGTTGTAGTACATATGGATAAAAATAAACCAGCAAAAAAACAATGATGTGTTCAGAAACAGTATGACGATGAAACGTGTAATGTGAAATATTTCCTTTTATTTGTATTTGATTTTATTTTAATTCTAATATTTCTTTAAATTGAAATAATTTCATTCATCTCTAAATTAAAATCAAATTTAACTTTTATATACACCTACCATTTTATAAACATCTACGGTGATATCACAAGTTAAAATAAATATATTTAAAATTTAAATAAAATTCATTGTAAAATTTTAATTTAAATAAACTTAATCTAATTAAAAATATTTTTAACAGTATTAAATATATTTAAATTTATATTTTACATTAAATTTTATTTAAACAGGTTAGATTGACCTGCTATATTTATTATAATGATATTTTTAATAAGATTAAGTTTATTTAAATTAATATTTTACATTAAATTTTATTTAAATTTTGTTTTTAAATTTTAAATATATTTATTTTAATTTGTTATAAAAATATTTTAAAATTTTATATTTGAATTTATAATATTGTCATTTTTTAAACCAACTCTAAATTATTAATATATAAATATTTGAAACAAAATTTAAATAATTTTCAATGTATATATATTATATAAAAGTTAAATTTGGTTTTAATTTGAAAAAAGATGAAATTGTTCCAATTTAAAGGACTAAAATGAGACCAAATACAAATAAAATGATTAAATTAATATTTTTCACATTACATGTGTCATTGTCATTGATACATCACAGTATCTCTTTCGTGTCACACTGTTTCTGACAGGATCTTCATTTGACATATAACAATTTTCTTTTTTAAATAAAAATGAAAAAAAATTTTAGTTAAAGTCGTCAGTTTTGTATTAACGAAAATGACAAAATTCCATCACATTTAAAAAATGAGGTTCAATTAAAACAACTTAAAATTTAATTATTGAATTGAAATTCCTCTGTGATATAAACTCATCAAAACATAATCTTTAAGTTAGTTTAAAATTGTATTAAAATATAATATAAAATCACAAAATGACACGTAAATAGTATTAAAATATTATAAAAAAAATGTTGTCAAAGTATCATTATTTCTGTATACCAAGAACTGCAATAAGTACGCATAAGCCATTATTCATTCAAAATCACAATTGCAAATACTGAAATTTGTGAGAACTTAGCATGATAGATCAACATCTATTCATGATTTTTTTTTTATATATAGAAGTACCGGATGTGATGTTTAATTTATACCTTTTCCTTTATATAAGTGGCTGATTTGAGGATAACACTTTTAGAATTTTTTAATTTTGTTTATAGTAGTTGAATGGATTCAAATTGATTTATTAAATAATAATTAGTAATTCAATAATTAACATTAAATGGTGAATCAAAATTTATCAATTAATTTATTTTATTAATTAAAAAATGATATATTAAAAAGGTAATTAATGAAAGAATTAATCATACAGTTTAATTTGTATAACCGGTACCATACTGTTAACATTAATAATAATAAAAATATACCAAATGCTAATTAATTATTACAACACTTTTTTTTTTCAGTAAATAGAAATATAAATTCGTAAATACAAATTTTTAATTCAATCAAAACGTTATGTTTCAAAATAGATGCTAAGATATCATTGATTGTTAATATACATACATAGTACATGGTATATAATATATAATATACATATTATATTGTTTGTGTAAATATGTATAATTTCTATAAATATCTAACATATATATATATATATATATATATATATATTATAATCA